AATGATTTACAGGTTGACGATTCAGAGTGCTGGGATTCTCGCATTATTTATGTGGTGAGCCCTAGTTCTTTCGGGGCATTATCATTACTTTACAGTCTTCAGTATTTTTAGACAGTCAGTGTTTTCAGTACTTCATTAGAGGCTTCATAGACTAGGGTAACAGTTAGACAGAGTCGCATGCTTTTCATGTTAAGCAATGTTAAAAGATACTTAGTAACCTCAGTGAAGTAGTGACGAGGCTTTTTAGTTAAAAGATACTTTGTAATATAACATATGAAGTAGATTGCAATAGAGACAATACTAGAAACAACAGAGAAGAGTAAAGGACAAATATGCGAAGCAGTAATTGATTACTAAAGAAAATCACGGTCAGTTTTCTCAATATCACAACCAATTCTTTTCTTTAAGCGATAACCACCAAATAACATAGTAAATCCATGAATTATCATAGTATGAGGAATGTATTCAAGATATCAAGTCAAATGGCATGACAACACCCTTCGTGTATTTATTTCTTACTCACCAAATATATAAATGTATGTCAAATTAATTGGCATGGCATAACCCTACGTGCATTTCTCTCATCCTCACCAAGCATATGTATAATAGAACTAACCAGGTAAAAGAAATACCAATAACAGTAACATCAAAGTAGAAAATACACAGGTAGCAATAGCGAATAAAGCAAAGCATATGGACAACGGTAACAAACAGGGTGGGAAGCACAAAAGTAATGATAGCAATTAGCTAAGGGAACATGAATTTCACTATATAGTAAAGTAGAAGGTTTATATCTGAGCACAACAAACAAGGAAGGGCATAGATATAAATATAATAACTAAGAAGGTAGACATGAACGAAATAATAATTAATAAATAGAAGACATGGATATAACAATAGCAAATAAGGAAAAGGTAAAGATGTGACAACTGCGAGCATCATATAAAATATAGGTGCAACAATAACAACTCATGATAAAGACATAAAAGTATACGCAAGAAAAAGATATCACAATACAATGCATGTCTCTCGTCCTCACCTGCACGGAAATACCCTTCGTGCCATGAACACATGATAATATAAAAAAATGACACGGCATCACTCTTCATGCTTTTAATGTCATCCTCACATGATAATGTAAATGCAATGGCACGACATCACCCTTCGTATTTTTACTCTCGTCCTCACATGATAATGTAAATGAAATAGCACGGCATTATCCTTCGTGCATAATAATGTATATGAAATAGCACGGTATTATCCTTAGTACTTTACACTCTTTCTCACATGATAATGTATAATACTGGCATGGCTACCCTTCGTGATTTATACTCTTCCTCACCAAGCATATATATACAGCAACAACAAGCGAGGTAGGAAGCACAGATAACTTCAAGAAGAGTGGTTAAGCAAAATACACCACGTGAACGGGAATCATAATTCTTGCATAATTAAGCAATTCAATAGACTTCAAGAACCCCATTGCTCAAGTATCTCAACAAATCTCAAAAGTGATCTTCAACTCAAATATGGAACCCCAAGTATTTCAAGAATAACAGCCATAGCAATATATTCGTAATTTAGGTATTGTTACGACCAAATTTGCACATCAACAGTTTCACAAAGAGCCCATCAAATTAAATCAAATGGTAATAGGCTAAAGCACGGTCTCTAGCTTTGAAATTTGTACTCATATTATCACATGAATCAAGTAAAACCTAAGGCAATAGAATCACTAAGTTCATCAATGTACAGAGGNCATGTAGCAAACAATATCATTTTATTGAAAAAATTCTCTCAATAAAGTTAGGCAATACACTTACCTCAAAAAAGCTGAACCAATACTCTAAGAAGTCCTTCCCGAATGAAACAACCTCCGGAAGGCTCGAATCTAGCCAAAATAACCTAATATCATAAATAAAAGCCATAAAAAATAATTTTGAATAATAAAGTTTCGATCTTTAACAAAAATAAAAAAAGTCAACCCGAGGCTCGCACCCTGCAACCCGACAAAACTCATAAATTCTGAACACTCATTCAGTTACGAGTCCAAACATACTATTTCATCTAATTCCAACCTCAAATCGGCCTTCAAATCATCAATTTATGTTTTAGAAATATTTTTACTAAAATTCTCAATTTCTTCAATTTGATTCATTAAACAATCGCTAAATTCAAGATTGGAATCATGAAATATAAGCAAATTCGTGTCAAAAATACTTACCCGATCCAACTTGTAAAAATTTTCTCCAAGATCACCCAAATCCGAGCTCCAAAACCTTGTGATAAAAAGTGAGTAAATTTCGGAACGAGTAAAAAAAATGCAACAGTTGTTATATCTCGAATCAGATCCTAGATGACTCCGAAACTCATATTTAATAAGCCTAACATAATCTTTGCGAGATTATACTCAAGATAGCTTTTTGAATCACCCAATTTAGCTAAAATGAGGGAGATATGATATTTTGAAGTTTAAAAGGAAGTCTAAAAATTTAAGGGACAAAAATGATATTTTCGTAATCATTTTATACTAGAAAATCAGCAACAAAAAAATCTTCATTTTAACACCCCAAAACTCATTCAGAACCTCCCGGACACAAACCATATATGCATTTCAATCATAAAATACACTACGAACTTGTTCGTGCACTCAAAATACCGAAAAAGATCATCTTGGCCCGATATTGATCATTGTCAAACTCCAAATCCTTAACTACTTTCTCAACCAATGATCCAAAATACACCCGAGCCCATCGGGCCCCCATCCAATCATACCAATAAGTGCAAATACATTATCCAAACTCCTAAGCCTCAAAACACACACATAAATATCACAACAAAGAATCGAGGCTCAAACCGAATATAATTTCTCTTAAGTTGTTAAATCTTCATTCTTTCAAAAGAATATCTGAATCATACTTAAATACTTCGGATTACTTTTAAATTTTGCACACTAGTTCAACTTAACTATATAGACCTATCCAAAGTCTCGGAACACCAATTGGTGTCCAATAACGTCAAAATCAACTTTTGCTCAAACTTATGAACTCTTAAGTTCTTCAAATTACTAACTTTCGACAAATAGTGTCGAATGCATCTAAGAACCTCCAAAACCGAATCCGAACATACGTACAAGTTCAAAGTCATCATACGAACCTATCAGAACCATCAAAACTCGATTCTAAGTCTGTTTACCCAAAAGTCAAACCTTGGTCATCTCTTCCAACTTAAAGCTTCTAAATCGAGAATCATTCTTCCAAAACAATCTCGAACCACTAAAAAACTAAAACTAATCATACACGCAAGTCATAATACATTATATGAAGCTACTCAAAGTCTCAAATCACTGAACGAAATACTAAAGCTCAAAACGACCGATCGAGTCGTTACAATAAGCACCTACAAGTAAGAGATAAAATAAAGGCCGCTAGAAGGTCAGAGATTGAATTAGATCGGAAAAAAGAAACAAAAGAAGAGTAGATGATTGTCTAGAGCTTGATTTTGAAGTTTCTCTTCGTCTTTTTAAAGTTTATTAAAATAGAAAAATCGTGTTTGTACTTTAAATTTTATAAGCTTGGAAATTTGAATTTAAATTTACAATGTTATCAATTGAAGTTTGAAAATTAGTAGCCTAATATAGCTTTGTAATGTTATTAGTATAATTTTAGTAGCCTAATATAATATTAGGCTTAGCCTAATCTAATTCAAAGTTTTAGTTCGTAAGTCAATAAGATAATAATCTAGTAATAGGAATAAAGGTAGTGGTAAATGGTTGAAACGGTCATAACATTTCGTTCATTTATTCGATTTATATGATTTTTTTATTTAATGTATTTTTTTTTTTTTACAGATTCTCATACTTAGTTAAAGGACGTATAATTTTTACCTTGTTGGTGAGGGTTTAATTTTCTATCTTGTAATTCCCACTCTTATTTCTCCTTCCTCCCCTTGTGTATAAGAGAAAATAATGAATTACTCGCATGTAGCAATGCCTAGTAAAGCACATTCTCAAAACTGGTGTATCAATCATATACTGGCAGCAATTTCACTCAATTTTCATCCATACACACACAAAAATATAAGAAATTTCTACCGGTAATTAATTCATACGTCAATTAAAACTAGTGCTTCATTTTCTACTTCTCTCTTTGGGATTTGTTTCTTCAATAGTTATGATTTTTTTTCTTTGGTATTTAAAACTTTAAAAATGAACTAAAATTTTAATTATTATAATCTTTCTTTATCTGAAATATATATAAAAATTCTAATATATAGGGCTTCAATATCGATTAAGATTTTATTTTATTTCTTATTTGAATTATCTAGCTTAACTATAGTTTATTTAAGTTACTTTTTCTCAAACCTAATATTTAGGACTTTTCCATATCATTTTTCCTTATTTATTTTGTTTTATAATAATAACTTAAATGACATATATACTTATTAATGGAATCGGAATACAGTTTAATTGAAAGCTCGATCATCTTCTAAACAAGACAAAATATATTTCATGTTCTACGAACTCAATATATAATAATCGATTTCATAATACAAACACTATATGTGTGTGTATATATATATATTTCTTATTTTCTTTGTTCCAATTTATATGAATCTATTACTATTTGGGGAGTCAAACAATATTTTCTTTGAGCATGTCTGTTGCAAATAATTTTTAAATATTTTGAAAATTTTATGTCCAAATTCACACAAACAATTAGTCAATTTAACCCTTGTATTCCAAAAAGGTTTACATAAATTGGAACGGAGGTAGTAAAAATTATGTTTTAATATAGTTATTTATGAATATACCTCATAAGGGGGTGCGAGTGTAGAATTTTCATAATATAGGGGGTTTAAATGCTTTATTCTAACATATGTGGGATGCATCCGAAACTGAATCATATGAAGGGGGTGTCTAGTGTAATTAACCCAAAAACACAAATTTAAAATTAAGTCCCAATTTGTGAAAATTGGCAAACTCCGGCAGAAGCCCCATCATATATCCGAGCGCCATTCCTCTTCGTGTCAAAGGTATGCTTTCTATTTTTAATATAAACACCTATTTATCCAGTCTTATTGTGTCCTACTTGTAAGAGAATTGATACAATCATGCAATTTTAGATCGGAGAAAGAAATTAGGGCTTTCATTTTTCAATCTTCAACAATTTCCGCTAAACCTATTAAAGGTGGAAACGTTAAAACTAAATTGTGATCCCAACAATTTCCGGTAGCTAAAAATTGAAGATTTCTTGTGGTGGAGCGGTTTTATGTACTAGATGGAATATGGTTCATACTCTAAGTCAGTTAAATGGTTTTGGTATTTTATCCTTGTTTGCTCTTGCTATATATGAGAGTGATTGTTGGTTTAGGTGAATGGGCCTCTTATAGGTAGGCGGATCTAGGATTTAGAATCAGTGAATTTGTAGTGGTTGCAATTTATTTTGTATATGTTTTCTTTAAGCATATATATATGTAATCTGTGCCAAAATAGTCGCTGCTGCAGAAGGCTTTTTAAAGCGCAGTGGCGGAGCGAGGAATTCTGATGAGAGGCTTCAAAGAGATCCAAATATGTCACAATTGGGATCTATATTGCTCTTATGTCAATGGTTTCTCTATTCAAAATTCTAGATATATATAGAAACTTTTTTTAAAACCATATTTACACAGTATAACTTTCGAGAGAAGGGGATTCAATTAAATCCCCCTTAATTGCATGTGGCTACGCCATTGGCTCAGGGCCAAGTTTAGAAAGCTAGATCAGCTTCTGCTCCTACACTTGATTTTGTATTGCAAAACCGCTGAACACTCTTTCATACATTTCAACAATTTATAAGTGACTGTTAGCACGTTTCTACTCCTTCTCGTGACATTTGCTTATTCTTTTACCGAGTAACAGCTATACCAGCAATATGTGTTTACCGTTGCGGACTCTCCAAAATGCTGCTGCACCCTTGTCGGATCCTTAAAAGATGCACTACTTTTGGACGATCCGACACACACCTGACAACATTTTCGGAGAGTCCTAGCAACATAGTTTATTGGTGCTAATTCAAAAGAGGGTTCAATTTAATAGCTGAAGGAAATTCATTTCATGTTTCAAGCTAGTGCTAGTGATGCTTTGCAGGATTTTTGACTTATTTGAGATAATTAGCTGGAACACTTTCTTGAAGATAGGCAACTCTTTGAGCACATTATATCTTTTGTTGCTGGACATGTAGGGAAATGTATTATCATGCTGATGAAATGTTAAAGCTGTGTGTATTCTGGCACGGTGCAGTGTTGGTTTGTTGTGTTCCATAAGAGTTTGATTTTTCTGCAAGGCATGTTTTTGGATAGTGCAGACCATAAGTTGTAACTGGACATACATGATTGCATTCGTATATGAATCGTAATCTTTTTTGAGTGTTATGTTCTTGTGATCCAGTTGTTTAAGCTCTTCTGGTTAATGGCACCTGAGGTAGATCCAGATCATGCTCTGATGATTGAAGATAATTTTCTTGATACCATGCTAGNTGATTGAAGATAATTTTGCGGATACCATGCTAATTGATCCAAAAAGAGATCGCTTTCCATGCTGCATCGTATGGTCACCACTTCCTGTCCTGTCATGGTTTATCCCCTTTATTGGGCATATAGGGATTTGTAGGGAGGATGGCATAATCTTGGACTTTGCAGGGCCAAACTTCGTTTCTGTAGACAATTTCACATTTGGGGCACCAACTCGCTATTTCCAAGTAAGCAGAGAACAGGTATGTTTGCTTGCTCTAATGTGCTCTGTCCTTCATGGATCTCCTTAATCTTATCAAGCTGTCACTGGGTTGTTGTGCCCTTGTTCTAGGTGCTACCTGCAGCTTTTCCATCCAAGCAGATCTATTAACTTTATGATGTGATTGAGTAGGATTCATTGATTTTGCTTTTTGGCGGGTTGGTTGCGACATATATTCACTTTCTTTTCGTCCCTTTTATGGCCTACAGTGCTGCTGCATATCTCCTTATTCAGCTGAACATACAAGTGAGTATGTCCAGAACGATGATGAATCTGCAAGCCATGTGGACACGTGGGATGCTGCCTTGAGGAAGAGCATTCAAGAATTCCAACACCTGTCTTACAGCATTTTCACTTGCAACTGCCACTCTTTTGTAGCTAATGGCNAGAATTCCAACACCTGTCTTACAGCATTTTCACTTGCAACTGCCATTCTTTTGTAGCTAATGGTTTAAACAGGCTGGGGTTTCAGGCTGGTGGATGGAATGTAGTCAACCTGGCCATTTTCATTTTCCTCAAGGGACGTTGGGTAAATAAAACATCTATAGTTAAAACCTATTTACCGCCTCTTGTTGTGCTTGGTTTAGGACTCATCTTTGGAGGAGGGACTTTCCTTGCTTACCTGGTAATTTTCATGTTTGTTCTTATTGGTTGGTTTCTCCTCGGCACATACTGTTTCAAGATGTTGATCCATGTGTAGTCAGTCACTTGGAATTATTTGATTCCTACAACCCGTATCGAATCTGTATGTTAGCCGACACTTGTAATTTTGGATATGATACAAGTAACTTCGTCAGTTGATATACTCTAATATCTTAGAGCTGGTAACTTCAAGTTCTGTATATGTCGAGATACTCAGTTGGGAAAGCTGGCTTCTGTTTCACCTGCAAGATTTTTGTAAGTGTAGCTGTTTCTTGTTCCACAGAGACGTGATGTAGGAGAGGCTTGAACTTATGGGATGTCCCAGCAGGGTCAAGAGGCTTGAATATTTGTCCAGGGAAATGAAAACGAAATGTCAAACTTGTATTTATTGGGGGATTTTAATCTAGAATTCTATTTTTTACTTATTCGTTATCATATTATCATATTGTTATAGTGGCATCAGAGTGAGCTTCCGAGAAGCATTCTCTATGAATTCACATGGAAATAGCTTGATAAGATATGAAGAGATTGTTTGAGCAATATTACTGCTTATGGTTCATCCAAATACTTGAACAGTCTTCATTTGGTATTTTGCGAAGAAACAAATCAAGCTAACACCTTTAGTTTCAAGGTGAAGAATGTGAGTGGAGTTAAAAAAAGAAAAAGAAAAAAGGGCTAAAGTTAAAAAGTCTAACTTGTGATCGTTTTAAACCGTAGCATTAAAGTGGCTATTTATGCAAATGGCACATGAAAATAAAGTGTTTTTCAATGGGGAAGTTTGGCAAATATCCAGGCGGGAGAAACTATTTACCAGCCCCTGCCCATGTGGTTTGCCCCCTACCCAATTTATTTTTAATACTCAGTCGAAGTCAATCAAATAAAGTCAAACTAAGATACTAAATCAAATCAAGCTAAGCAAAGTCAAACCAAGTTAAACTAAGCCTAATGAGTAATGAGTACCCAAATAGGGGTAATTAATTTTAATTGGGTAGGTATATATTGTAAATAATTTTTAAATAGGTAAAAAAGGATAATTATTTTCAGATGAATGGGTATTTTGTATAATTGTTTTTTTTTTTCAATTGGGATCCTTTCTGATTAACAGATGAAAGGTTCGATTGACCAGTAGTGATTGGATAAGTATCACATAGAGCTACGTGCACAAATAGATATCTTCATCCTACTTGACACATTTGGTTACACATGCGGAAAATTTATATTCATAACGGAACTATAAATTAAAAAGAGTAGAGTATGATACCAAAACTTTATCATAAAATTTTTATCAATTTATATTTGATTTTCTAAATAATTAAAATTGTGTTAGAAAATATGTTATTTCTCAAAAATGTTGAGGTCAACGGGTACTATCAATTGTTAACAAAATGATTACTCTTTTCTCGGCGATTTTATGAGTTATTATCCCGTATATTTCGTAGAAAAACAAATTTTCACTAATTAGTATAATTGAAATAATTTACTACTTGTTATAAAATAAAGACTGTAAAGCAAAGACAAGCATAGAGAGAAATTGATATATTATTCGAATTCAAACTGATGTACATAATGAACTGAAATCTCTTCTATTTATAGAAGAAAGGAAGTTGTCGTGTAAGCTGCTACTAGGGGTGTCAATGGATATCCGAAAACTGACTAAACCGATCGAACCGTACCGCACCGAACCGATTTTTAGGTTTCTTTTTAAGAAACCGTAGGTTTTTATATAAATATATAACCGCACCGATAATTAGGGTAGGTTTTTTATTTTATAAAAATAAACCGAAAAAATACCGAACCGTACCGAATAAATTTTACATGTAGAAAATATATTTATTTAGTAAGTTTAAAAATAATAATGCATTAAATTTTCTTTGAGCCTTGGAATTATGAAAACTATTACAAGCCAACAAGTAATTAAACTCAAAATACTAATTCCTAAAACCTATTATGCTACTTCTACTTAAACTAAGTTATTTCAAGTATCTTTATTAGCAAGACACAAAGTATTCTAGCGATTATGAGTAGCAAACTACAATGTATTGAATATGTTTCCTTTCATATAATTTAGATTTATCTTTTTGAATATTTAATCTTCTATAGACTTTATTCTTGAGTCCCAGCTTGGTATATCTTTCAACTCGTGTGATTAATATTTTCTTTGCCTTTGTTTGATTTCTTTTACGCTGTTGTAGAATAGTTGATGGATCTATACTCTAGCCATTTTTTTAATTCATCACCCTTTTAAACAGTAAAAATGTCTAGAGAGTTTTACTAAGTCCTATAAAAGAACGTATGTTATTGCAATTCTACTTCTACTGGTGAATTTTACATGATATTAAAAAAAATACCGAAAATTAACCGAACCGTACCGATACCGAAGAGAAACCGACATGATTGAGACGTTTCAAAAAGTCTAATTTTGGTTATACATAATAGAATAACCGAAAAATTGATATGGTACAAATTTTATAAAATAACCGGCCGAACTGAGCCATTGACACCCCTAGCTGCTACTGCAAGCTCCTGTGTAAGCTGTTATTATACTAGATATGGATAATCTTCTACTGAGAGCAATGTTTATCCATAACGGAGTACTGAAAGGATAAGTGTATTATACCCGGTATGGATAATCTTCTATCGGGGGTAATGTTTATCCATAACCGGGTACTGAAAGGATAAGCTTATTATACCCGGTATGAATAATCTTCTACTAGAGTTAATGTTTATCTATAACGGAGTATCGAAAGGATAAACTTCATATATCCGATATGGATAATCTTCTACCGGGAGTAATGTTTATCCATAACTGAGTACCGAAGCGATAAGCTTCTTCAGGAGGCTTATTTTCAATAGAGTACTTGTGATGACCCGACCCGTCGTCGCGTGAGTTACCGCCCCGTTTCCCCCATTTTATGCTTCTTCATGTTTCGTTATCGGTATTCGGTGTGTTAGAGTTAAATCGGATTGGTTTTGATAGGAAATGAGACACTTAGTCTCTTTTAAGGAGGTTTAACCGTTTAAGTTGGAAAAGTCAACCGAACATTGACTTATGTGTTAGAGAGCTCGGATTTGAATTCCGATGATTTGGTTAGCTTCGGGGGATGATTTGTGACTTAGGAGTGTGATCGGAAGTAATTTTGGAGGTCCGGTGTAGAATTAGGCTTGAATTGGCGAAGTTAGTATTTTGGCGATTTCTGGTTGATAGGTGATATTTTGATCCGAGAGTCGGAATGGAATTCCGAGAGTTGCTGTAGCTTCGTTATGTCATTTTGGACTTGTCTAAACAATTTGAGGTCATTCGGACGTGGTTTGGTTGGGTTTTGATCAAAAATGGAATTTGGAAGTTCTTGAGATTCATAGGCTCGAATCCGATGATGATTTGATGTTTTGATGTTATTTTGGGTGTTCCTAAGGTTGAGACAAGTTTGAATGATATTGTGGGACATGTTGATATAATTGGTTAAGGTCCCGAGGGCCTCGGGTGGATTTCGGAAGGTTAACGGAATGGAATTCGGACCCAAAAAGAAAAGAAAAAGCTGCTGCAATTTCTGTTGCTAAGCTGTCTTTGGACAGCAAATGTGCAGTCGTGGAGCGTACTTCGGAAGCCTATATCTTTTGATCTACAAGGAATTTTGAGATAATTCAAAAACGAAAGTTATAGCCCTTCGCGTCTAGTTTCCAGAATGATAAAGAAATTGTAATTTGGACATATGTAGAGAAAGTTATGATCGATTGAAGATGACTGGTGGAGCAGTTTCTCCAGAATTTTCTGATTACGTGGAACCAACTTTAGAAGCTCATATCTCGGGATATATAAAGAGTTATATGGTGTACAACCTATCAAATTAAAGAAGTTCGAGTCTAGTTTCTAAATCCTCAAACCGTTTGTAATTTGGATATTTATACAAGATGTTATGGGTGTTTAAACAGAAGGTGTCCGACAAGGAAAATTTTTAATAGGATGTACAACTTGTATAGCACAAGTGCAAGGTACAACTCGACGAAGCACGGACAGATTCTTTAAACACAGATTTAGCTTATTTCTTTCATTTCTTTCATTTGGCTTGGATGATTTTGGAGAGAATTTCAAGGGGGATTTTATCAAGCATCAAAGGTGAGTTGTTTCTACTTATTTCCAAGTTAAATACAAGATTATATGTAAATTAGAACATGAAAATTAGTAGAAAAGTGGGGTTTTAGGGCTTGTGCTTTTGAGATTTTCTAGGGTCGATTTGAAGGGTCAAACGAGCTCCGATTTTTGTGTTCTTTATATGTATGGACTCGTGAGAGGACGAAGAACATTTTTGTATAAAAATTCCGAGTTTTGAGACGTGGTCCCGGGGCTCGGGTTTCACCAAATTCGTTAATTTTGATATTTTTTGAGTGTTTTCTATTANCAGGTACACCACAGGCTGAGTGAGGATTTGTTTAGCTGAGCAGCAGTATTCGGGAGTATCGAGGTAGCTGCATGGCGTTCGCAGCCTTGATCTCTCCCATCTATCTCTATCTTTTATTCCGTGTTTTTCCTAGACAGGCTTGTAATAGGTGGATATTCTGTATTAGAGGCTCATATTCATGACACCGGGTTCTGTTGGGCTATGGTGTGGTATTTTAGTTGAATTTCCGCAGATTTTATTATTAATTATACACTTGAAAGTGATGACTTAGTAAATTCTCTATCATATTTATCTATAATCTGAATAAGAATTTGGGATAATGTTGTTGAATGGTCGGGCTTGCCTAGTAGTGTGTTGGGCACCATCACGACCGGGTTTGGGGTCGTGACAAGTTGGTATCAGTGCCTAGGTTAATTGGTCTCACGAGTTATGAGCCAGTTTAGTAAAGTCTCGCGGATCGATACGGAGACGTTTGTATTTATCCTCGAGAGGCTGCAGAACCTTTAGGAAAACTTTACATTCTTGAATTCTTATCGTGCGTCCTTGATTCATCTTGAAAAGAAACTTTTGAAATTCCTTCCACGCGTTCGTATGCGCGCATGAACGTTTAGTATCAGATGTGCCTCGATGGCTTGTGATTCCCCGATCAAGGGGCAATGTGTTATCTTTGTGAGTTTATGGTAGGCAAGTCTGGAGGACTTGAGGTTGGATCTTTGCCTATGGCTGGAGTGTCGAGGTGCTGATTATGTGAACAAGTGTTTTTGAACTTATATGTTCGGTAGTGTCCCTGTTAGTGGAAATGATGGTTGTGGCTATGTGATGAGTATGTTAGTACTGCGAGGCGTATCTATATGATTTGGAAGCGATGAGAAGGGTCTGCTGAATGATGGAAGAACTAATAGATGCTTGAAGTCCATTGTGATTCAAGTTATAGCCCGACTTATGGGCGTGTGAAGAATCTTTTCATGTCTCCTAGTTGGGAGTGAAGTAAATTTCATGTTGCGGTATGAGTATAGACTCAGGAATATCAAGTGACTGCGTAATACTTATGGCGGTGGAAAGTATACGAAAATGTTATATTGAGGCGAAGCAGGTGGGTTATCTCCCGTGAAGTGTGCTAAGGCGGTATGATCCTCATGTGAA